TGTGTCCATAAAAAACTGCGTTGCTGTACGGTAGCAGAGTAGAACGTACAATTCTAAATATGTAAAACTCAGACATTTATATCAGGAACACATCATAAGAAAGAGGAAGATACCTATTTAGGATACCATGGAGACGAATTACAGATTACCTACTTATTACATTTTCGTTACATTACTTGTCATCAAAACCTTTGTTATTTCCCCTTCTGTGAACCTACAAACTACAAACAGTAGTTATTTACCACACGTAACTAATAACGATCGTGACGACACGTAATTGATGCGCCTGCGCCTCTACAAACTAGGAATTCCTGTTCATGTATCCGTGTCAGGTGGATTGGTCTATCTTGAACATTATTGTATGCTAATTATCTTTGCACTTTGTAAACAAAACGAATTTTCATACAATTGACATAAAATACGATTTATTCGTCATCAATTTTATTGTACTTATTATTGTTACTCAACCATGTAAATTCAGTCGATGAGATTAGGATAAAGTTTAAAGAGAAATATATTTTAAAATAGATTATGACATGTAAAACAATGTTTCTATATTTTGCACATCCCCTAAAAAACTGCTTTAAACATTTCTTTAGAGGTTAAAGAAAATAATTTTCCATCTCTTTGACCTCTCCGAAGCACGTGGGTACCAGGATAGCATAACAATGAGTCAGTGGTCGCTATGGGCGAGCGCATGTGACGATGACGGACAAATTGGATTATTTGTACCGTTTGCACCGTCAGACAACTCATTTTCTAATAAACGCCGCAGTTATTGCGCAAGTATTGTTATTCAAGCAGTCAGTAAACACTCCGGTCATTCTATTCCCACCAGTTAACTTCATATCACATCCTGGATCTGACGTTTGTATGGAGAAACGAAATCTATTATGTTTTAGAATCTACAATAATCGGAAAACTGCCACAATTCTTCATGGATCAAACTCTAGTGGCAACGTAAGTACCAGGGCATCACACGCATGAAAGAGGCAAAACTATTATGTCCAGACAATGTCATGTCCAATTGCCATTCAATTCTAATCACATAATGTGGTCATTGCCACCTTCTAAATCGTTCTCAAAACTTTTAGGTTTGCGTAATGATAGATTTTTTTAGTAGTTAGGTAGTAGTTGAAATTTTTCACAACAACCGGTGTTGAGTTGAAGTTACATGAGCGATGTTGAAGTTATGTCATGTAAGGTAAGAACAGTTGATGCTCGGGATCTTACATAAAATAGTATGTAATATGTTAAGGAAAAAAGAAGACAAATAATTAAATATTTTGCCGAGTCATTGTCCAAGACGTTGCATGCATGCATGTAGCCGTAGGTATGTTGTACCTACCTATTTTTATTTAATTCGCTTCTTTTTCCTAGTACGTAGCCTGTTACCTAATCACAGCTAGACAATAATAATTGCTCTTACCTCCAATACCTACTTAATTGTTATATAACGTAATAATTGTATAATGATGCGTATTACGCTGTTTATTTACAACTATCTAGTTTCTATCCTTTAGATACGGTCGATTGATTAGTGGCAACCTCTTCAGCAGAAGTGCTACTCTAATAATGTGCGCCTAAATATTAATTTATTCAAACTTTTTGTCAACAAACACGTGTAAATAATAAAAAAAATATAATGTCCTAAGTAATTAATATAACGATAAAAACGAACAATGCAAGTATTGTTGAAAATTGTTCGAAATAATTAATAAGGTCATTATTACAAAGAGCATCAGAGAAGATTAAACAATTTTTAATTGGCAGGTCACGTCTTCTAGAGGATGTTTTTTACTGTAATCCCTTGAGCTTACCGCAAGGGTCCTTGACTAAAATAAAGGAAAAAGATTGACAACAATACATTAGCATAATCTGCGAATTAGTTACAATACAGCATACGTTTATACATCGATCTCGTAGCGCCATCTAGGTTGAGCGTCTGAAACTTATTTATCAACGACGCTTAAAATTACATGAACGTGTTTCTCACTACGCTATGGACATAAAAGACGTCAGTATTCTCGAAAAATAACACAAAATGTAACAAGCACGTTTCATAAACGAAAAAGTCGTGATTATCTTCAATATGTTTAACATAATATCATAACAAACGAAACACGATTAAATATAATTGAATCCTTACCAATTAAGTTTTTCTTATGAGTGTAATTAAGTAATGAAGCTAAACAAAATATTATTGCACCACATTAAACAACATTGAATGCATGTGATGCGCACACGTAGACAGTGACAGTTGCGGCAGGTTCTTATACATCGCAGTTCAAATTGACCGAGCGACGTTGACTTTTGTATAATTACTGCAACTAGCAAACTAGTTGTTGTTAACGGGCACCAATGATGAAATGGTGTGTGTTGTATCATGTCGTATAAGCTAGAATGGTCACATAATAACTGAAGTGTACGTCTACAGTTAAAACCCGTAATTGGTTCTTTAGACAAGCAACTATAGGCCGCAGGTGTTCGCAGATGGGGTACAAATTCCGTGAATAATATTTCATTATGAAATATGCCTAAGACATTGGGGATTTCTCCCTAAATCCTTAGCATGCCTTTATTTTCATCCAAGTGTATCTTCAGTTGAAATAGAGGTATATTAGAAGAAAACTGACCTGCGATGGTGTTCAGGAACATGAGGTATTCAAAGTTGGAGATCTCGCGACGCTGCCATTTCTGTGTCATGTTGGAGTTGCGCATTAGTTGCCGGGGCGACATCATCGATGCACGTCTGTAACAATATAATAGAAATTGGTTAAATACTATAAATGAAAATATGTTTTATAAGTAGAATATTCAGTAATAGTCCGTAGTAGAGTCCAAAATTATGCTTGGCAACAATCCTCTGACATAATTTTTAATGGTTTGTTTTTATTTCTTATTTCATAATAGGTTAAGTAACAAAACGCGTTGTGATGTGTATCGCAGTAATTTAGTCAAAGATTTTTTGCATATGCCATCTATTTTGGGACCAGATAAACATCAGACGATTATAGAATACAATAATACACGTGCTGCTCTGTACGATATTAGAACATCATGCTTGGACACTAGGTAATTAAAACTACACGATTTCAACAGCTTCACATGACTTTTAGGAGCGTTTATGATCAATTTGTATTCGTGGGCCCATCAAAATGTACTTTGTTTCGGTTCGGTGAGTGTTCAGAGAGCCAGGCCAATTTAAAGATGGGTGGCAAAAAAAAACATGTTATCATGGAAATTACGAACGATAATTTCGGGTAATTTATTTTTGCGAATACCTACCAGTATGTAAGTAGTAGGTATTTTACTACTTTTTTAACTAGTTGTCACGTTTTAGTTGTTTAAATAAGAAAACAACATAGTTTGTGACGAATTTCAATGTAGGTGTTGATTTTAATGTGTTGTTTTATAGCAATGTCGGAAAATTTTGTCAAGTTTCCACAATAGAATTCATTGATGAAAATAAATCTATAACCAATAATAATCATAGTTCACAATTTCGCAAATAATAATCTGATAAACAAAGTTACGCAACTTGATATTCTTCTGACGCTCAAATGGAACTTGATTATGCAATAATTATACAGTTTTTGTTTGTTTCGATCCGTGTCGGGATCATCTTGGAAACATTTAGATGGCTCGATATTGCATAATGTTACATAAGACAAATAATAACACTAACCGGTTGTTGTGGGCAATTTCGCAGTTATAGCAAATTGACATAAAATGTCTCAGTGGACAGAACATCTTCAATTTACATACGAGATTATATTATGAGCTATAACAATCTTATAACGGTATTTTGTTGTCAAGTCAATGATACTAATTAAAGACATATATTAATTAATATCTAGGAGCTGGAAGTAAGTCAGGTTTTCCATTCTAGATCTGAATCTATATGTTGACATTTGAAACCAGGTCTACATACAACGCCGTGAACTCAACAAAAGGGCAATGTGGTTGTCGGTATAACTTTATTCCAATATTAATACATTACAATATCAAAATAATTATTAATCGATTACGAACACATATTGTAGTGTATTTTAATATAGGTATTGTTTAAACGGTATTACATAATTAGTTTTTAGCATTTGATTGATCAATATTATTGTGGGGCTTGTTTTACTCTTTTTTTAGTGTGCAGTCGGGTATTTTGTTTTTTTAATAATAATTTTTTTTTGGGATTCATAATTATTTTTTATGAGGGAATTTAATTATTAATAATTTGTGAAACTGAATTACTTAATTACGTATTTTTGGGTGCCATCGACCTAGTGCTCTTGACCCTGAGAATTAAAAAATAAACAAGAGGAAGTGGTCCATATTTAATATGTAGTAAACAGTAAGTAAAAGTTGCGTACACAGCGCAGGAGTCGTTGTTTCCGCTTTGTGTTGTCGCTGCGCAAGCGTACCTCTAGTATTGAACTGTCAAACGCTTGTTTGTCCGTACTTTATTCTGCGAATCGTATTCCGTGAAATAAATGCTTATCTTTTTCCTGTTTAGAATAAGAGTAATATCTTTTAGACTTCAAGTCCGGAGGTTAAAGACGCCCACTTTCCATGCATGAGGGTGCGGGATCGAAACCTACCAACAGCAAGTACCATTGTGACTTTTTCTGAGTTATATGGACTTTCTAAGATTATCTAGACACCACTGACAAACGTTGAAGGAAAGCATCGTGAGGAAACCTAAGCTTATAATTTCTAATTATAAGTTTGAAATTACCAATGGTTAATGCTCAAACCTTCTCCGTTTGAGAAGAAAGCCTTTGGTCAGCAGTGGCTACCTATATGCTGTTGATGTTGTTGTATTTCATTATCATCTTCAATAGACATACCTCGGTCTACCTCAATGTCGATTATAAATCGTGATGTTATGTCATATATTTTGATTGAAACAAACATTCATAAACAATGATAAAGCTCATTCAAATAAATTAACTATCATAATATTTAATTAGTAAAACGAGGAAGTCGGTCACGTGCATCAGTTTTGCGTGTCAAGTAGTAATGCGGGCGGCGCCGTGTGGCGAGCTAGTGTAAGTGATCGGTGTCAGGGTCAGCTTATAAAGCGCGGTTGTCGACCTGCGCGCGCCGCCGCACCGTCTCTTGTCTGCGGTCTGCGTACACGCATGCAGGGGCCTTACTTTCTGATCAGTCACTTACTAAGATCATGCAAATAGCGATTTATAATTGTGTTGCCGATTAACAATACTAAATTACTAATATTAAAATGATGTAAAGTTACAATGGCGGTGTGTTTAAAGGGTTTGCTAAAGGTTAATTGTGGGATGTTATAAATACAAGCAGTAAAATTATACAACCTGATACATCAAAATGTGCACACAATGTGCAGTCAAATAACTAATTTAATCTTTTCAAGTTCTTGACATTTCCTATGACCGTGTTAAGACAAAAAACTAAATCTAATAAGGCTAATCAAATAGTTAACAAAAAGGTGTTGATTTTATTATATGTCAATAAACATTTTAAGACATTCAATAACTTTTGATTTCGATGGTTTTATAATTAGCAGAAGTCAAATAAAGGTAAAATTCTAAAGGTCTCTGAAAGGCTAAATACCCACTCAGTGTGAGGGAGACTGAGTGACAAAGTTACTCATACATACACTTGGGAGCAAAGAATCAGAGCCGCGAGCATTCCGAACCCTCTACATCTTAAAAATAAAATATTCCTTTTACACTAAGATGCTCTCAATTTAAAGGTAATTAAATTGGCTTTTATATGACATCCGTCCCCAATTAATAAAATACTTGTGTGGCGGTACATGTCAAATGACAGGTCACGAATATAGACCATCGATGAAAAACAAATCAATGGATGACGTCACAAAATCCTAACATCGCACATTGTTATTTTTTTAATTTTACATGTGAATTTAACATGGATAGAAAATCCCAACGAACAACTGTTGGGCAGAAAGCCCATCAGGCACGAACAACTCGCCTGGTCGGAGGATCCTCCTTTTCCGATCTTAGACAACTTTACTCTCAGTTCCCTAAACTGAAAGAAAATATTTATAAAGAAATTAATAAGAAAAAGCGCTAGTGGTTCCGTTTTTTTGCTTCCAAGTGTAGTTGTGGATCAGTGTGCAAGTGAGTGGGTGGGTGAGTGAATGATCTCGGTCTCACCGGAAGCGGATGACAGGAAATAAAGCCTTATCTTGTAAATAAACAAACAATTAACACTAGGAACTAATCTGTCTCATTCACGATCCGATGAATTATTCAAACTCAAATATTTTGGCGAGAGACAACTATTACGGCAGTATGTCATTTATTTTATTTTATTTAGGACTTAATCATAAGTTATGATAATGTTTTATGTAAAATAAATTATAATTTACTGTCAATTGTAAAAGATTAATAAAATATAGTATCTAAAGTTCTTTTATTATTTTTAACGACTAAGTGGATTTTTTGGACCATATAATTGATGCAGTAAAATTCCCAGTAGTAGCACGGAGTCTGGAATTGTGCCCGGTATATGGCAATAGGCTCACCCCCTATTACATGGGACTCATAGCATAAATAGTGAAAAGTGGGTGTTACATTGTACAGTGGCATAATGTACACCTCTGCCTACCCCTTCGGGGATAAAAGGCGTGATGTTAAGTATAATTGATGCATCATCTCGCTAGCAATTAGTTAAAGTGATAGGCAGCGCTGTACTTACAGTAGATGCATTTTCTTCAGTTATAGCAGTATAATTTCACACTGTAAGAATTACGAGTGTAATAACTACACTTATTTAATATCAAAGAAGCAGGACCTAATATCACCATTGCATCAAGGTGTTCTCTCAATCCCGTAAAGAAATAAAAATAAAAAGTCGTAACCACGTTGCACATTGCATCATGATATTCCACGATGTTCATAAGAATGTCGACAACCATTTAAATAATCAGAGGTGAGGCAAACCTCTGTGTACCTTGTGACCCACGCCTGTCCAAACTGTTGTTCCGAGTCCAACTTTTGACCAATCGTGGAAGGTCGCGACCATATACCGACACCAAACCTCTTTGAATAACAATCCATTCATTGTATTGCGAAATATATTACATATCTTTAATAATTCTCCACAAAAATGGCGATCAAAGATCTTAAATTTTATTGTCATGTAAATCGTTGTACAACATTACAATTTAAGATAAAAACACAGTTGAACTTCAATATGTATGTGTGAAATGCCATAAAGTAAGGTACCAAGGTTTTACCATTTTTAGAAGATAAAATCCTTTTTCGTTTTTTATTTCAAGTACAAAATAACTGGCCATAACTGCGTTGTATTATGTAACGTTACGCTTTAATTATAGCCCAGGACCCATGCATTAAGATAACTTAATGTTCTTGCCGAGATTTAAACTCGAAATTGAAATCATAGAGCGGAAACAATATTCTGCGAAAAACTTGTACAATATGAAGAGTTCAATATTGACTACGTCACTAGTCTGACCAGAGACTGGAGCTCAAGGTCAAGGGTAGTCATTGGAGAGTAAAGTCGATGAAGAAAAAAAGTTGGACTCCCATACTACTTCTATCAACCTCTGCCTGAAGAGAAATACAGAATCTGACGTAATGTTGTTGTTGAAGTGGTGGATGTGGTTGAATAATAGATAATAGCTTGTTACATTTCGTAGTTTTATTATAAAGCACACAGAAAGCACATGATGGGCGCCATGCAGACGACAAAAGGGAAGAACACAGATGACACATCGACGTC